TTTGCAAATGCAGAGTAACTTACATAGGACAACGGAATGACTAGACCGGACAACAGTTTTAACAAGGAGACACTATGTATTTATATTTTATTGATTTGGATTAGTTTTTATCATATGTAATGTTTTAATTGTATTTATGATATTGTAAGCATAGAATTTTATCTTGTAAACCGCCTTGAGTTGCCTGCGGGCTGAGAAAGGCAGTATACAAATACAGTAAATAAATAAATAAATAAATAAATAAATAAATAAATAAATAAATAAAATTAAAACTGTATATAAAAAAAGAAATGCTTGGGCTGTTTGCCCTTGAAGAGAGTGCCCCTAAGATCAAAGGGTAGTTATTTTTCCAATCAAGTTCAAAGTATCCATCTGCATAAGTGATATGCAAAAAGGGTAATATTTTAGATCTGGCCCAATGGTACCATGTTCCCCCCTCCCTTGGAAATTTGCACTTTCTGAGCAGAAATGTTATTTTCTACACATAAAGTGTGACCTTCTGCAGAGAAAGGCTTCCTTTTCAGAAAACATATCATGTTAGAATACTCCAGAAAATATATCACATTATAAGGAGCAGTTTGATTAAATTATCTCTTCTTTCCCATGATAATGAAATTAACCAGTTTTTAACCTTTGTACTAAGATAAGAAATCTGTTGAACATGTTTGCCCTTGCTTAAAACTCTGCCCTAGAACTACTTAATGCCACAGAAGTAAGTCACTGAAGTTGCAGGAGAACAGTTGTTGTTTCCTCTGGGCTGCCATATTGTACTCAAAACCCCTAAACGATTCCGGCCCAGTTTACTTGTCCAAACATATCTTCCTCTATGATCACCTTGGGGTCTACGATCATCAGGGGAGGTCCTGCTCTCGATCCCACCATGCTCGCAACTGCGACTGGTGGAGATGAGAGACAGGGCCTTCTCGGTAGTGGCCACCCATCTGTGGAATGCATTCCCCAGTGAAATCAGGTCAACTCCATCTCTCCTATCCTTCAGAAAAAAACACAAGTCTTGGCTCTGGGACCAAGCAGTCAGGCAGCTGGCTGAGCAACAACAGTAATGACTTGTGAGAATTGTCAATGAAGAGACCTCGGACTGGAGCTCTGGACTATGATTTGGATTTGTGGACTCAGACTCAGTTGTGTTAATATTTTAAAGGCCATTATTTTTAATGTATTTAAATGTATTTTTTACTGTTGTTGGCGTGTTTATGTTAATTCCTGTGCTGCAATTGTTCTTTGTCAGCATCTAATGGTTGCCAATTGTAAACCACCCTGAGTCCCCCTTCAGGGGTTGAGAAGGATGGGAGATGACCAACCTGGTTATGCCTTCCCCTAGCCTCCAAACATCTGTGGAGTCATAATCCATATTGAGAGTGCCTTCCAAATGGAGTAGGTCTGGACACTTGTGTGAGCAGAGTGATTTACCCAACCATGAAGATACATGATCTCAGCCAGCAGCACTATTCCTTCTTTCTCCCCATGAACACATCCCATTTTGCCTGGACAACTCTGCTTCTCTATCAACTACTACCTGAAAGTATATGAGTATATCCCCTTTCCCTTCTCAAACTTGTGTGTGCATGTCATCGTGTCTGTGTACTGAATCTGGTGCCAGATTGTTGAGAGAAATAAAACACACCCACACCAGACCACAGAGGGAACCAAATGTAGACTGTTTTGTCAGATGATGTATCCAAGGGAGAGAAGGGTGTGGAAGGCTGTCAGCATGCATTTTATTGAGATTAGCTGTATTTCCTGCATGCCATCCCTATTATTTGAAGAACATTGTAAATAACTACCAGCTGAATTTATCCTTCTTCTCCTCCCTTCCCTCACTGCTACTTTTCTTCATTCAGAGTGTTGTTTTCTTGTTATATTTTTCATTGGTTAAAGTTTACTGATCAGTTGGCAAGCTCATGCAATAGAATAAAAGGGGAGACCAAAGATCAAGGCAGTGGATGGAAGTGCATGAGACTGGCTGGCAAACACATTCTGAGGTGAGTAGAGACTTTTGGAGGGCCATCAAGAAAAGAGGGTCTGTGTTTTATAGGAATAAGATTTTCAGGTGCCTGTGGTCCATTGAATACCAAAGGTATCTTCTTTCATTCAAAAATGCCTTCAGTGTTCAAGGAGTTCCCTGGAACATCTAACCTGAGACAAATGCCTTAGCAGCTGGCTTATTAGCTTTAAATATATTTAAAGCTTTAGATAGTATATCTTGGCCTGCTTTAAAAATGATATTGGAGAAATTTGAATTTGGAGAAAGATATAGAAGTTTAATTGGCAAACTGTATTCAAAAATTGTGGTTCAATAATGGTGAATGATAGCCTAACAGAAAAAAATAAGTATTACCCAAGGTACGAGATAGGGATGCCTCCTTTCCTCAATTTTGTTTGCAGTAATATTGGAAATATTAGCTAACATAATTATAGAAGATATTCACATAAAAGGAATAGGAATTAAGGAAAATTGAAGGATAAATTTATTCTCAGGTGATATTCTTTTAATGGTTGAAAACCCAATACAACAGTGGGGAAAACTGAAGCTTATTTAACAGAGTTTCGAAGAATAACAGGCCTCTGACAAAGTTAACTAGAAATTGGAACAAGTCAGAAATGTTATTATTCAACTATCAGGAAGAAGAGGGTTACAAGCTGGATAGATGCGGGGAATGCCGTGGATGTAGCGTACCTGGATATCAGTAAGGCCTTCGACAAGGTCCCCCATGACCTTTTGGCAAACTAACTAGTCCAATGTGGGCTAGGCAAAACTATGGTGAGGTGGATCTGTAATTGGTTAAATGGACGAACCCAGAGGGTGCTCACCAATGCTTCCTCTTCATCCTGGAAAGAAGTGACAAGTGGAGTGCCGCAGGGTTCCGTCCTGGGCCCGGTCCTGTTCAACATCTTTATTAATGACTTAGATGAAGGGCTAGAAGGCATGATCATCAAGTTTGCAGACGACACCAAATTGGAGGGATAGCCAGAGGACAGGAGCAGGATTCAAAACGATCTTGACAGATTAGAGAGATGGGCCAAAACTAACAAAATGAAGTTCAACAGTGACAAATGTAAGATACTCCACTTTGGCAGGAAAACCAAAATGCAAAGATACAGAATGGGGGACAATGCCTGGCTCGAGAGCAGTACGTGTGAAAAAGATCTTGGAGTCCTCGTGGACAACAAGTTAAACATGAGCCAACAATGTGATGTGGCGCCAAAAAAAAGCCAATGGGATTTTGGCCTGCATCAATAGGAGCATAGTGTCTAGATCTAGGGAAGTAATGCTACCCCTCTATGCTGCTTTGGTTAGACCACACCTGGAATATTGTGTCCAATTCTGGGCACCACAATTCAAGAGAGATATTGACAAGCTGGAATGTGTCCAGAGGAGGGCGACTAAAATGATCAAGGTCTGGAGAACAAGCCCTATGAGGAGCGGCTTAAGGAGCTGGGCATGTTTAGCCTGAAGAAGAGAAGGCTGAGAGGAGATATGATAGCCATGTATAAATATGTGAGAGGAAACCACAGGGAGGAGGGAGCAAGCTTGTTTTCTGCTTCCCTGGAGACTAGGACACGAAACAGTGGCTTCAAACTACAAGAAAGGAGATTCCATCTGAACAAGAGGAAGAACTTTGGCCTGCATCAATAGGAGCATAGTGTCTAGATCTAAGGAAGTAATGCTACCCCTCTATTCTGCTTTGGTTAGACCACACCTGGAATATTGTGTCCAATTCTGGGCACCACAATTCAAGAGAGATATTGACAAGCTGGAATGTGTCCAGAGGAGGGCGACTAAAATGATCAAGGTTCTGGAGAACAAGCCCTATGAGGAGCGGCTTAAGGAACTGGGCATGTTTAGCCTGAAGAAGAGAAGGCTGAGAGGAGATATGATAGCCATGTATAAATATGTGAGAGGAAGCCACAGGGAGGAGGGAGCAAGCTTGTTTTCTGCTTCCTTGGAGACTAGGACGCGGAACAATGGCTTCAAACTACAAGAGAGGAGATTCCATCTGAACATTAGGAAGAACTTCCTGACTTTGAGAGCCGTTCAGCAGTGGAACTCTCTGCCCCGGAGTGTGGTGGAGGCTCCTTCTTTGGAAGCTTTTAAGCAGAGGCTGGATGGCCATTTGTCAGGGGTGATTTGAATGCAATATTCCTGCTTCTTGGCAGGGGGTTGGACTGGATGGCCCATGAGGTCTTTTCCAACTCTTTGATTCTATGATTCTATGATTCTATGAACTTCCTGACTGTGAGAGCCATTCAGCAGTGGAACTCTCTGCCCCGGAGTGTGGTGGAGGCTCCTTCTTTGGAAGCTTTTAAACAGAGGCTGGATGGCCATCTGCCAGGGGTGATTTGAATGCAATATTCCTGCTTGGACTGGATGGGGGATTGGACTGGATGGCCCATGAGGTCTCCTCCAACTCTTTGATTCTATGATTCTATAAGAGGAAAAAAATAAAGCAGGAGGGAAAATTTGTAGGAATAAACATACTAAAGAATTAGAGAATTTAAGAGATAAATGATTTTACTAAACGAAGAAAGAAAATGAATATAAAACTGTTAGAACATGCTTAACTTAAGCTATCATGGTTTGGTTGGATAAGATTGATTAAAGGCTCCTCCCTAAACTACAAAACCCAGAATTCTGCAGGACGCAAAAACCTGATTTGAAGTGGATTTTTTCTCTAGTGTGATAGGGTCCTATGCTTGGAATTATCTGTTCCTGAATAAAACATATATATATATTTTAAAAAGGAAATATCCTGAATGCCGCATCACAATGTCTCTCTCTCTCTCTCTCTCTCTCTCTTTCTCTCATATTCTCTCCATCCCTTCCCCTTTCTCAGCATGTCTGAATCAGATATAACATATTTCACTCATAAGGGGATCTTGTTCACCCCTGTGGGAACTTCAGTGGAAATATTGAATTATGTGGAAAATGAATTCCAGTTGTTCGATGATGATGTTGTGACTGTCACATATCCAAAGTCAGGTCAGTAATATAGTTGAGCATTTTTGTACTTTATATTTACCGTGCATAGGGGCCTTTTTACAGGATAATGAATGTTGTTTTTATTGGAAATTACAACCTTTTTCAAGCTTCCTCTAGTAATTTGTTAATCTATGATTCTGTTTGCTTACTGTTTTGTATGTATGTTCTGGTATGCAGCTTCTTTTGCTTGATATTTGTAAGAAAGATGCCCTGTGCCATCTGCATGGAGAAATTATCTCAAACATGTCAGAAACTGGACTAATAAGCTATGTACCTATGCTATGCTTAACGAAGTTGCAAGTAGACAAAATATATTATTTTACTAAAGCCGGCTTCATTTTTGTCTCTTGAGTGCATTATATAAAACTAGTTATTGTATGGGAGAGTAGATATATTTTAGACACTGAAAAATACTTCTAAAACTCTGTTATTGTTGTGCATTGGCATATTCTCTGTTTTCCTACAGATCAGAGACAATAGGTTCAGTCTAACAATTGAAGACATTGCCTTGCTTATTACATTTGGTTGTATACCGTATGAGAAGATTCTACTCAAATGGATTTTTGGCTCTTCTCTGAAAGATCAAACTTTTCCAAAAGGCTATGATCTCCAAATGGTTATGAATGCTGTACAACTGGAGTGTTATGTTTTTTTTTTCAGGTTATTTTTTTACTCATGGAGATACTAAAATGAACCTATCATTGGGTTCTCTTGGCAATAATTGTTCAGGGGGAGGCTATTAGAGAGAAAACATAACTTGCCACCAGTGGGTTTTGAAGTTAAGTGGGATTTAAACCTTGGCCTCCCAGAGCCCTAGTCCAACATTTAATCCACTACACCAGTGGTTCTCAACCTTCCTAATGCCAGTGACCCCTTAATACAGTCCCTCATGTTGTGGTGACCCCCAACCATAACACTGTTTTTGTTGCTACTTCATAACAGTCATTTTACTACTGTTATAAATCATAATGTAAATATCAGATATGCAAGATGTATTTTCATTCACTGGACCAAACTGGGCACAAATACCCAATGCAACCACATGTAAATGCTAGTGGGGTTGGGGGAGGATTGATTTTGGGAGTTGTAGTTGCTGGGATTTATAGTTCACCTATAATCAAAGAGCATTCTGAACTCCACCAGCGATGGATTTGAACCTAATTTGCCACACAGAACTCCCATGACCAACGGAAAACACTGGAAGGGTTTGGTGGGTATTGACCTTGAGTTTGGGAGTTATAGTTCACCTATATCCAGAGAGCACTGTGGACTCACGCAATGGTGGATCACGACCAAACTTGGCACAAATACTCAATATGCGCAAATGTGAACACTGGTAGAGCCTGGGGAAAATAGACCTTGACTTTTGGGAGTTGTAGTTGCTGGGATTTATAGTTCATTACAATCAAAGAACATTCTGAACTCCACCAACGATAGAATTGGCTCAAACTTTCCACATGGAATCCCCATGACCATCAGAAAATACTGTGTTTTCTGATGGTCTTTGGAAACCTCTGTGACACCCCTTCGTGACCCCCTCAGGGGTTCCGACCCCCAGGTTGAGAAACACTGCACTACACTATGCTGGCTTTCTTTTCCCACATAATATATCCTGCCACAAAATGATTTCCATGTAGTGAATTTGTGCTTGTGGAGCATTCCACAAGTGCGATAGGAATGACTGTATATACTCAAGTATAAGCCTAGTTTTTCAGCCCTTTTTTAGGCTGAAAAAGTCCCCCTCAGCTTATAATTGAGTCAAGGTTATTTATTATTTTACTCTGTTGTTGTTGTTGCTATTGTTGTTGTTGTTGTATGTATTATTTTACTCTACTTATTCTTATTCTTATTATTACATTTACCATTTTGCTCTATTATTGTTATTATTACATTTATTATTTTATGCTATTATCACAGTTATTATTACATTTCCATTATTTTATTTTACTCTATTATTATTATTACATTTATTATCCTGAATGCATGGAATCTATTTGTTTTAGTTGACAGATTCCATGCCTATGATCTCTCAGTCATTAAAGAAAGACTAAGTTCTGTCAAATCATCTGTAGAATACAATACTGCTCTAATTTTTTGAGAACAAAGACCAGCTAGTCCAAGACTCTTCTTGAATCTTAAAAATAACCAAGAAGTCAAGCAGAAGTTGACAAGTAATTCATTAACTAACCATAGTCAAACAGATCTGCAAAATAAGTAGTTATAAATAAAAAGTTTCATTCTAATTAATTATGTGAAAATGAAGGTAAGTAAGGTTGTTTGGAATTAAGTAGAACGCATTGGGTAAGACGCGCATAGCTTTTGACCACTGGACTCCACTCAGGTACCAATTGGATGTTGGAGATCTTGGGTTTGATTCAACATGGTGGGGATCCATCATGGGTTCGCAGTACCCCAGTATGGGATCGATGCCCGTGGATTGAGGTCCATGACTGCCACCAAAAAGCCTTGAAAGACCTTCCACCCAGGCTTCTCACTTCTCATCTGCCATTCCAGCTGTTCCCTAAATCTTTTATTCACTCCAAGGCCAAGGTAAGAGAAAAACCCATACATGTTCCTTTTGTGTCAAAGCACAAAAAAGAACTGTCAAATTTTGGACTCACACTGTCTGTTTAAAGTTAGATGATATACTAAACCGCAGAGAATTATAAAGGGAACTTCAGAATGATGTTTTGATCATGGTTCTGGTTCAAGGAGATCATGAACTAGTCAAAAGAAACAACAAAAAAGCAGCAGAAATTAAACATATTTTATACTTCACAAAACTGAATCACATATCATTCCATGCACCAAATGAACACTGGACATACCTCCTTCCTTAAATGTAACCTTTCTGTTCCTTACAGATTATCTATGTCTTGCGTAACCCTAAAGATGTGCTAGTTTCAAGCTACCACTTTTCCAAGTTCTTTAAAGTATTCGAGGATCCTGGGGCTACAGAAGAATTCTTGGAAAAATTCCTGAGAGGGAATGGTGAGAAAAGAGATAAGCAGGCTGTTTCCATCAGCATCAGTTGCAGTCAAACTCATAATGAGAGGCAGAAGTCAACCCCTGAGGTGCAGGATCCATGGCAGTGACTTTTGTCTGACTCTCATTTTGTCTTTGAACAAATGTAGAATCGACAATTATCAGAATACAACCTTTTCCATTCCTGCTTTTAATGCTCCCCAAAAGTTGCCAGGGGCTCCCGGTAGCGCAGTGGGTTAAAACGCTGAGCTGCTAAACTTGGTGACCGAAAAGTTGCTGGCTCGAATCCAGGGAGCAGACTGATCTTTTGCTGTTAGCCCCAGTTTCTGCCAACCAGTTTGAAAACATGCAAATGTGAGTAGATCAATAGGTACCGCTCTGGCAGGAAGGTAACGGCACTCCATGTAGTCATGCTGACCACATTACCTTGGAAGTGTCTATAGACAACACCGACTCTTCAGTTTAGAAATGGAGATGAGCACCAACCCCCAAATTTGGGCAATTCTGGACCTTTAACCTACCTTTTAATTTAATGACCCCCCTGGTGACACAGCGAGTTAAACTGTTGGGCTGCTGAACTTTCTGACCAAAAGGTAAGTGGTTCGAATCCAGGGAGCAGAGTGGGCTCCTGGTGTTAGCCCCAGCTTCTGCCAACCAATAATAATAATAATCATCATCATCATCATCATCATCTTTATTTATACACTGCCACCATCTCCCCAAGGGGACTTAGGGCCACTTACATGAGGCCAAGCTCAACAATTACAACAATGCAAATATAAAATGTAAAAAATACAACAATGAAATATAATGAAAATAATAACACAAAAACAATACAAAGTAAACACACAATGCAATATAAAATCACAATAATTGAACACAATGGGCAGGGCCAGTTGCAAAGTTTAAAAGGTTTTAAAACACTGGGTGAGATGAGCAATGTAGTGTATCTGGAAAGAGGTTCAGATGGGATGAAACAATGGGGTTTAAATGCACTTGAGGGTAAAATAAAGTGCATTCAAGGGTATTTTATGTAGGGTTTGGTCAAGGTCAGGGATTGTTGTTCATTCATTAAGGTCACACTGCAACAGCCAAGTTTTTAGGCTCTTTTTGAAGACTGCCAGGTTGGAGGGTTGCTTAATTTCCAGAGCTGAGGGGCCACCACAGAGAAGGCTCTCTCCCTTGTCCGCACAAGTCGTGCTTGCAACGGCGGTGGGATCGAGAGAAGGGCCTCTTCGGAAAATTAAAGGGATTGTGTAGGTTCATAGAAGGAAATGCAGTCACGAAGGTAGGCAGGTCCAAAACCATTCAGGGCTTTGTAGGTAAGAACTTGCACCTTGATTTGGGACCAGAAAATAAACGGAAGCCAATGGAACTCGTAAACAGGGCATTCGACTGCTCCCTGTCATTCACACCAGTTAGTAGTCTGGCTGCCAATCATTGGACCAACTGAAGTTTCTGGGCCTTCTTCAAGGGCAGCCCCACCTAGAGCGCATTGCAACAGTCCAATCTAACTAAGGCATAGACCAGCTAGCAGTTCGAAAACATGCAAATGTGAGTAGATCAACAGGTACCGCTCTGGTGGGAAGGTAACGGCGCTCCATGCAGTCATGCCAACCACATGACCTTGGAGGTATCTACAGACAATGCCCGCTCTTTGGCTTAGAAATGGAGATGAGTACCAACCCTTAGAGTTGAACACAACTGGACTTAATGTCAGGGGAAACCCTTTATCTTTTACCTAAAAGTTGCCAAAGTTGCAAACTACTTTGAATACATTTGTGCTCTGCTTTCGATTGGACACTAAAATGGCTTGCAACATTGGCAGTCAGCAGCATATGGTTTCAAAAAGGTAAGATAAAGGAGAAGTTGGGTCTCCAGACAATTTAGAGAAGTCATCTCCACCCTTCAAAGTGCCACAATTTTAAAGAGCCCACAACCCTGACAAGATCAAACATTTTTCTTCTATAAGCAATACCCTCTAATTCTCTAAAGGTTTCCCTCCTCTTTGTAGAGAAAGGGAGTGAAGGGCACTACAAGGCCTGGAAAATTTAGAAGGGCCCCTGGTCTCTGGCAGCTTTGGCCTTCTCCAAGCCAACTGTCAATGGGATGAAACTGAATGGTGTTGGGATGCCATCAAGAGATCACCAAAAGACAGCCTATACTTTTAAGGAGAATGGAGAAAAGAAGTCATTGCTGTTATATCTAAGCAGAGGTGGCAGCAACTCATCTTCCTTTTGGTTAGGATAAGGATTTGTGTGTGTGTGTGTGTGTGGGGATAGGTTTGTGGAGAGCCCTCAAGGGAAACAATCAGTGGCCAAGACTCCTCTACTTGGCAAGCAAGAAGAGGTCCTCAGGCTATTGGTTCTCTTCCATTGCACTAGTTGCATAAAGAAATTATAGAATTCCTTTTCCATTCGAGCACTATAATACTTTTTCAAATATTTGCATTCCACCTTCTTTTTACTATCCAGTTGCATATGGTTCCTGGTTTGACCATGTGAGAGGCTGGATGGAGTTGAAAGACAGACCAAACTTCTTCTTGTTCACCTATGAAGACCTACAAAAGGTATGATATGGCCTCTGTGTGTATCAACTCTACTCCTTCCTCCTTTCCTTCAAAAAGGTATTAAAAACACATCAATGCAATTTAGCTTACAGAGAGGAGGACAATGTACATCTATTTGCACCTTACTGAGTTGCTAGCAGCCACCCTGGTAACCTGCTGTTTTCAATCACACCCACAACAATTTTAGCCTAATTTTAGAGATTTTAAATGATATTTTAAGGATTTAATATGTTAGTACTTACGTTATGTCTTGTTCATTTATGTTGGTTAATTATTGAGTAGTTCTTGATTTGTTTATTGATTGCTTATATATTATTGTTGGCATTGAATGTTTGCTATTGTGTACTTTGTTGTGAGCCAGGACTGTAGCCGCGGGGAGGGGGTTAGGGGCTCAACCCCCCCCCCCAATTTTCAGGTTAAAAAAAAACTGGTTTACTCATGAATTTTAACTGGTTAACCAAATCCCCATGCTAAGTCTATGAGATGCAAAAAATTAAGAGTTCCTCCAGAACTGCAAGCACTATCTCAAGCAAATATTGACAATTTATTCACACTGTCATTACTTGCAGCAATAGCCGATGTAGTGAAGCAACCAAGTTGGGGGGGGGGTGTTGAATGCTCTCATTAAGGAGGCCAGACTTGGTGGAGGTGGTTGACAGGGGCGGAGCTGCAGGCTATTGAAGGCTGCTCTGCCCCCTGCTGTGCTCTTTGATTCAGCGTGACCCTAACCCCCCCTTTTTTTAAAAAAACCCTGAAATTTTCAACCCTCCCCGAAATTTTCAAACTTCCCCAAAAAAATTTCTGGCTACAGCCCTGTTGTGAGCCACCCTGAGTCCCTTCAGGGAGATAGGGCGGGCTATAAATAAAGTTTCATTTCAGTTTCATTTCATTTTTAGAAATACAGTACATCATTTTGTGACATAGTAATTCAATTTTATTAGTAAAATGGAGGTGAAACCAACCTCTTAATTAGAGATATATATATTATTGTTGGCATTGAATGTTTGCTATTGTGAATTTTGTTGTGAGCCAGGCCTGTGTATGTACATATACACATGCACACACGCATACAAAATGGTGCTCCATGTAGTCATGCTGGCCACATGACCTTGGAGGTGTCTACGGACAATGCCGGCTCTTCGGCTTAGAAGTGGAGATGAGCACCAACCCCCAGAGTCGGACACAACTGGACTGTCAGGGGAAAACTTTTACCTTTACCTTACATACAATACTGCAATTTGTAGAGACATAACATAACTCATGAAAACTTTTCATTTATATATTTAAATATATATGATTTATTTTTTATTTCACACGGACTCATTATGTTCATGCAACACACCTACACACTGCAGCTGACACACTACTGTGTTGTGACACATATTTTGGAATGCTTTGCTCTAAAGCATCAACATCTTTTAACTTTCAAGAATTCAACCAATGTAAAATATCTCTGAGCATATGTAAGCTTCCCTCATTTCACTTCTGAGAATCCAATTTAAGGGCTCCTGTAATTAAGTACAGGCAGTCCCCAAGTTACAAACATCTGAATTACAAATGACTCCTGGTTACAAATGGAGGTGATACAACAGGAGAGAAATATATCTCTTGGAAGAGAAGTTCACTCCTGGAAGAGTTATGGGGCAAAGGTGTCTCCACTGAAACTTAATCACCAATTCGTGTTTCCACAACAAGCCAATTTTTTCAAAATCCAATTATCACAGGAACTGAAAGTGAACAGGAACACAGACAGCAAAACAAACAACACAGGGATGTTAACCCTTCCCTATGCTATCCAAAACTTGCAGATGTGTGTGTGTCTGTGTGGAACCCCTGGTGGCACAGTGGGTTAAACCGCTGAGCTGCTAAACTTGTTGACCAAAAGGTCGCAGGTTCAAATTCAGGGAGCGGTGTGAGCTCCTGCTGTCAGCTACAGCTTCTGCCAACCTAGTAATTTGAAAGCATGCAAATGTGAGTAGATCACATTTGCAGGAAGATAATGGCGCTCTATGCAGTTATGCTGGCCACATGACCTTGGAGGTGTCTATGGACAACACTGACTCTTCAGCTTAGAAATGGGATGAGCACAAACCCCCAGAGTCAGACACGACTGGACTCAATGTCAGAGGAAAACCTTTACCTTTACTGTGTATTTGTGTGTGTGTGTGTGTGTGTGTGTGTGTGTGTATGAAGTTACACTCAAGAAAAGTATCTGTTCCAACTTACATACATATTCAACTTAGGAACAAATCTATCTTGGGGACTACCTGTCTGTATGTGTTAACAGTCTATCTTCTTTCCTATTTTTGGATGGATTTCTTGGGTTCCTTGTCCTGTAGTACATTTAAGGCAATTATTCCTGTTTCTACCAGAAACTCATGCTGCACTAACCCATAACATTTTAATAGTACAAATGCCAAATATTCCAAAATGTAACTACAAGATCTTTATCCCACACATTGGGGTTCCTTGTGAAGTTCAAGATTTTACATCTAAGATGAGTTATCCCAGGGAGCAGTCCTTACTAAGACACAACATGTGACAAAATGACAGGGAGGGTGCATTTGACTGAGAGGGAAGTTCTGTCTAATTTAGTTGTCCAGCAGTACCAGAAAAGATCAGAAACATCCTGGCAGCACTTGAGTTGAAGTCCCACTGCAAAAAATGTCTCTTTTCACCATTTGGCAAGAGGTGAATATGCCCATGGAGATGCAGTCTGAGACTTAAGATTACAACTCTTTTTCAATTGTTTTTGCTATCCTTAGAATCTACCGGGCAATGTGGAGAAGCTCTCTCAGATCCTTGGAAAGAACCTGAACAGCCAGCAGATAAACGCTGTGGTAGAAAATGCCTCTTTCCATAAGATGAAGGATAACAACATGTCCAACTTCACTCAGTCACCACTTTTCAATCAGAGCACAGGAAAGTTCATGAGGAAAGGTAGATATACAGTTAAAGCTTACTAAACATTGTCAAAGCCTGGGACACAATCTACTTTGTACCTGAATCCTGAAGTATAGTTTGGTAGGTGCTGAGAATAGTATGTGACAGGCATGGTACTGCTTTTGGACTTCTTCCTAACTGCTTGCCCAATGCAATTATGTATTGCAATTCAAAGAGTTGCTGCAACATGAGAAAAAATAAGATATAATATGTGCCCACTTTCCATGCCCCCTAGGTTGTATAATCTATTGGTCTTTGATCTCTTGCATCATGAGGTCATTTGCAGGCCCTGGATGATACCCCGATCAAAGGGAAACACCCATAAGTAATCAGTTAACTGCTCCTCTCCTCAATGACTAGTTTTTTTCCCCTCACTTTATTTAATGGTAGGGCTGGTGTAACAGATGAGACTTAGTTGAGAATTGTATGAGAGAGAGATTACTTTTAAACACCTGTTTATATCACTCTTAATGTTATTTTGATAATATTGTTGTTGTTTGCTGTATATGTTTTGATTTTATTGCTGTATTATGTTGTCCGGGCTTGGCCCCATGTAAACCGCTCCGAGTCCCCATCGGGGAGATGGTGGCGGGATAGAAATAAAAATTATTATTATTATTATTATTATTATTATTATTATTATTATTATTATTTAATATGTGCAACCCAGCGCCATAAAACCATCCTCAGTTCCACAAGATCTTCAGTTTTTTCTTTCCTGGAGTTCCTTTTCTTTAATAAGTAGACACAACTCTCAGTATTTTGAACTGAACAGAAACAACATTTATTTAAAGGTTTCTCAAGTTCATACCAGCTTGATGGTTACACATTATATCCTTATTGTCGCTACACTTAAATCTTCAGAAAACATGAAACTGTTACTGTGAAACTTTTAACAATATCTTATATTCTCTCTCCTGAATGTTTGTTATTTCTTTTCTTTTAAGACTTAGTTTCCTTCCTCAGTCCCACTTTTATTGCTTCAGGTTTGACACTGAAGTCATAAATAAAACAACCGGGAATCTCTTTCTTCTAGCACCCAGGCTAGATCATACTACAGAGTTAAATACTTCTATTTTTATTTACTCTACACTGAAGATTAAACGCTTGGCTCACTACCTGGAGCCACCTTTTTCTTCTGACTACCTGTCAGAGACCTAAACTGCTTGGTCTAGCTCCACACAACTAGAACCAACCATCCCTTGGCTCATCTAGCCACCAACTGACACTTTTTGAACTGTGTTCTTTTTCTTAGTGGCAGTTAACTCCGCCCCCTCCTCTTCTACCTGGAGGGCTATGTCGCTAGGGCAACGCCCTAGCTCAGGCCACCCATCAGCTGGCCTGCACCTACTGTGCTGGTACGGCTGTACCAGGAGCTCCAACTTTCTTTTCTTTCATTGAGTGTTTGCATGTATTCCAAAGTTCCATGCATTTTGCAATAAGGTGGCTTCCCTTGGTTTGCAATTATAAGGCCAATGACCCATCAATTATCATTATTTTTTAGCTCCGCCCCTTTCCCCAGGGTTCAGGAAGGAAAGGGAGCCATTTTAGCTCAGTCTTTACAGTTGAAAGCTTAGCTACAGAACGTGAATCAGCTCCACGTGTAGAGAAGCTTCGTTTTTTACTAAATTCCGGGGGAAAACAGTTCCAAAGGACTCCAGCTGGAGAATCTACAAAGCCTTGACTGGTAGGTCTACTCGGACCCAAGAAGCAGTTTGGAGCTGGGAGTAGAGCCCACACCAGCAAAGTTTAGAAAGTAGATTGCCCAAGGAGGGGTTAAAAAGGGTTTTCCTCTTAAAGAAAAGAAACAGTTCACGAAGCCAGTTGCCTGTCCCTTATGGACAAGATTAAGAAAGCCACCAGTTGATTCAAAGCCTTGAAGTATTTGTTTGACTTGTTGAAGATCTGAGAAGTATTTGATTGTTTTGTTGAAGACCTAAGCAATAATAAAGGACCTTATTAAACTTTTCAAGCTTCTAAAGACTTTGTGTAGGAAAATCCTTAGGGCCTCTCAGCTGAGGCACCCCGGCTTCCCACTGGGCACAAAGAGCACGTCCTGTTCAAATGCCAATTGCTATAGGCCCAGCATGTGACAGCACACCTACATTACAATATCAATAAACATATGTAAAACCTTATATCATAATATCAATAAACATATGCAAAACCTACATTCTAATTAGACATTTCGTTACAGCTGGCTATTAGAGGGGCCTTCTTTTCACTGTGTTGATCTAATGTTCTGTGTGTATTAACTCTTCCCTTCTATGATGTTCCAGGGATCTCTGGTGATTGGAAGAACCACCTGACCGTGGCCCAGAATGAATACTTTGACCGTGTGTATCAGGAGAAAATGCAGGACATAAAGACAATCCCAGTATGGGAGTGAAGAATACCAGATGTTCTGTATGCAAACATTCTTATCTCTCCAAGGTTTTGGGCATCATGATAGTAAATATAAGAAGCTTATTCAAAAGTTTTTTTTATTGCTGTAGAACAAATTACTCCAAGATATCAGCAAATAAAAGGAGGCATTATGTTTTGAATAGTAGAAAAGCCTAAAGGTTAATACTGTGCTATATTCTGAATGGTTAGCCTAAAGGGTTAGCACTGTCCCATGATTTATCATTGATATATCATAGATTGAAACCACTGTTGAAATCCTGCATCAAAAATGGGATGTTAAAATCTATACCTTGTCTTCCATCTCTCCTTCCTCGAAACCCACCTTTTTCATCCTGCCCCACTCTTTTTTGATGTGCCATGGGCTGCTGCTGTAGAAAGATGCTGGCTAATGCCTCTGGGTACAAATCAAATGACAACATCGTCCTTTGAAATCTTGCAGAAGATGCCCAACAACCTCTCTAGAGTTGTTTAATTATCACCTTGGATATTCACAAATTAAATAAAACTAAACTCACAACATTTATTCATTTTTGTTGTCAACGATCATTGTCTCATTCTGCCCATTCCCGTTGTCTTTTCTTCTACACTGCTATGTCATGCAGCTTCAGGATGCAGACTAACTGCATTGAGCTGGATTAGATGAGTCTACACAGCATTCTGAAATGTAGATCTGGCCAGTAATTCAGTTTCACTAGGAAACAAGATTAAACCGACTTCTTATAAAAGAAGTTAAACATGAGCCAACAATGTGATGTGGTGGCAAAAAAAGCCAATGGGATTTTGGCCTGCATCAAGAGGAGCATAGTGTCTAGATCTAGGGAAGTAATGCTACCCCTCTATTCAGGCCCGTAGCCAGGATTTCGTTTCGGGGGGGGGGGGGGGTGAATTTTTTTCAGGGGCGGTTTCGGGGGGGCTGAGCCCCCCCCTCCACCTGGCCCCCTGAGTTTCCCCCCTCTCCTGAGTTACTGGGGGGGGGCTGAGTCTGAGTGAAAGAGGGTCTAACCTAGCAAACCTTTTGTATCATTATCCCAATACCCCCATGCATATGGGATATATTGAGTATGATGATCAGATCATGATATGAATAAACATAAGAGTTTAAATAATGCACCAGTAAGGCCTTTTTGTGAACCACCATGAGAATTTCAGGGGGGCTGAAGCCCCTCAAGCCCCTCCCCCCATGGCTACATGCCTGGAGCCTCTATTCTGCTTTGGTTAGACCACACTTGGAATATTGAGTCCAATTCTGGGTACCACAATTCAAGAGAGATATTGACAAGCTGGAATGTGTCCAGAGGAGGGAGACTAAAATGATCAAGGGTCTGTAGTTTGAAGCCATTGTTCCGTCCTAGTCTCCAGAGGAAGCAGAAAACAAGCTTGCTCCCTCCTCCCTGTGACTTCCTCTCACCTATTTATACATGGCTATCATATCTCCTCTCAGCCTTCTCTTCTTCAGGCTAGAACAAGCCCTATGAGGAGCGGCTTAAGGAGCTGGGCATGTTTAGCCTGAAGAAGAGAAGGCTGAGAGGAGATATTATAGCCATGTATAAATATGTGAGAGGAAGCCACAGGGAGGAGAGAGCAAGACTAGGACACAGAACAATAGCTTCAAACTACAGGAAAAGAGATTCCACCTGAACATGAGGAAGAACTTCCTGACTGTGAGAGCTGTTCAGCAGTGGAACTCTCTACCCCGGAGTGTGGTGGAGACTTCTTCTTTGGAGGTTTTAGTTCTAAACAGGAAAGCTAACATGAACAACATGTTGCTTCTTTGGCAATGGCAATGCAAAATGACTGTAACATTGCATCTGTTTCTGTAGGACAGCTACAACAGGACTTGTTTCGTAGAATCAGAGAGTTGGAAGAGACCTCATGGGCCCTCCAGTCCAACCCTCCACCAAAATAACATTTAAAACACCTCCAACTGATGGCCATTCCAGCTTGTCAATATCTCTCTTCAACTGGGGTGCCCAGAATGGGACACAGTATTCCAGGTGTGATCTAACCAAGGCAGAATACAGGGGTAGCATGACTTCCCTGGATCTAGCCCAAAATCCCATTGACTCTAAGATCAAAGGGTAGTTATTTTTCCAATCAAGTTCAAAGTATCCATCTCCACAGGTGATATGCTGTAAGTCTAATATTTTATATCTGGCCCAATGGTACCATGTTCCCCCCTCCCTTGGAAATTTGCACTTTCTGAGCAGAAATGTTATTTTCTACACATAAAGTGTGATGTTCTGCAGAGAAAGGCTTCTTTTCAGAAAACATATCATATTAGACTACTCCAGAAAATATATCACATTATAAGGATTTTTAATAGCATGGAGCTGTTTGATTAAATTATCTCTTTTTTCCCATGAGAATGAAATTAACCAGTTTTTACCTTTGTACTGAGATAAGAAACCTGTTGAGCATGTTGTACCTTAGCTTAAAACTCTGCCCTAGAACTACTTAATGCCACAGAAAAGAGCCACTGAAGTTGCATGAGAACAACAGTTGTTGTTTCCTCTGGGCTGCCATATTGTACTCAAAGCCCCTAAACAATTCTGGCCCAGTTTACTTGTCTGAACGTATCTCCTTCTATGACTACCTCGGGGTCAACGATCATCAGGGGAAGCCCTGCTCTCGATCCCACCATGCTTGCAAGTGTGACTGACAGAGATGAGAGACAGGGCCTTCTCGGTAGTGGCCACTCATCTGTGGAATGCATTCCCCAGTGAAATCAGGTCAACTCCA